CCCCCTCTCTCCTCCCCTCCCCCCTCCCCCTCTCTCTCCCTCCCCGCCTCTCTCCTCCTCCCCCTCCTCTTCCCTCCCCTTCCCCCCTCTCCTCCTCCCCAACCCCCCCTCCTCTCCTCCCTTCCCTCTCCCCCCTCTCTCTCCCTCCCTCCCCCCTCTCTCCCCTCCCTTCCCCTCTCTCTCCCTTCCCCCTCTCTCCCCTCTCTCTCCCTTCCCTCCTCTCCCCCTCTCTCTCCTACTTCCCCCTTACCCTCCCTCTCCCCTTACCCTCCCTCCCCCTCTCCCCCTCCAATCGAGTTTCCTTCCCCGCGAGCCCCAGACATGCCTTGTCTCGCGGACCGGAGTGCGGACGTGAGGCGCAGCACGTAGCCAGGGCGACGCGCAGTCCAGAACCGTTTCCAGTGTGGATCTCTGAATGAGACTCGGTGTCGCTGTTGCTTTTGGTGTGGCGTGGTTGTCTAGGGAAGCTTTTTTTTTTTTTTTCTTTCTTTTTTTCTTTTTTTTTTGTGTGTGTATGTATATATGTGTGTGCGTGTGTGTGTGTGTGTGTGTGTGTGTGTGTGTGTGTGTGTGTGTGTGTGTGTCTTGTTGGTTTTGAGTGTCTTGTTTTTTGTCTTATTGCCTTTGGCGTCGTTTTTCTGTGGTTACTTTTGGTCGCCTGGCTGTCTTGTTAAGTAGGTGTTCTTTCAATTTGGTCGCCTGGCTGTCTTGTTAAGTAGGTATTCTTTTCAATTGTGTCTTGTCTGTCTTGTCACCTGAGGGCCTTGTCTGTCTCGTTACCTGTTTGTCTTGTCAAGTCTTGCCACTGGTTGGACACGCGATCAGGCCCGTCAAGCTTTTTTGTTTGTGTACCTAATTTGCTTGTCACGCACAGGGTATACATTATCGCTTGTAATCCTGTGTCTGCGTGTGATTTTCCTGCCTTTTATAGCTTGTTATTGAAAGACTTGATTGCTGGGTGCATGGTTGTAGGGCCTTAATGTCGGTCGTTGTTCCTGTAATGTCGTGTAGCAATTACTGTTGTTAACATTGTTGCCCTAGACCTTACTATTATCTTTTTTTATTATCCGTTGTCTTTGGAGCGCGATCGTTCTGTATTTGTCTTTTTCTTTATTATAACCGTTATTGGAATTCTCGTTATTCCTACCGAAATGTATATATATATATATATATATATATATATATATATATATATATAATATGATCTTGTTATCATTCGGGGTATCATTTCCTTAGAATTGATAAGGTATTTTAAGCATTGTCCCACAGATTTTTATATTATTACCATTTTACCATGATTATCCTTGTCTTTACGAATTTAATCTTCCTTCTCCCTATCATTATTACTCATTTTATCCTTATCTTTGCTATTCCTCATATCATCATTATCCCGTGTAATGATTATTCATTTAATCATCCTTATCCTTGTTATTCCTCATTTTATCATCCCTATCCCAATCATTATATGGCATTTTATCAGCCCTATCCCTGTTATCCCACATTTTATCACCCCTATCCCTATCATTGACTCATTTTGTCCCTTAACCCTGTTATTCCTCATTTTATCACCCTTATCCCTGTCCATAATTTTATCACCCGTATCCCTGTCAGCATTCCTCATTTCCCGCTTGTCATTCCCACAGGTGAAGCCCGCGTAATCGGAGAGCTTATTACTGGGCGGGACGGGAACGACTACGCCCCTGGAGGCGAGTCGTGGAGCTGCGCCTACGCCCCCGACGAATCCCGCTTCGCCTGGTCATGTGGCTTTAGGAAGGTCGTCATCCTGCCGTGGAACCGATACAAGAACTGCCTGTAAGTGTCTGTAGGAGGTAGCAAGGAAGGAGGAGGGGGAGGTAAAACGGGGGGGATTGATTTTTTTTTTTTTTTTTTTTTTTTTTTTTTTTTTTTTGAGGGGGGAAGGGTTGAAAAAAAGGTTAAAGGGGATATTCTAATGAGTTATTACTTTTTTTTTCTTAAGAAAGGGAGGAAGCGTTGATGATCGTTTAATGGAAGTAATCTTTCTCTCTCTCTCTCTCTCTCTCTCTCTCTCTCTCTCTCTCTCTCTCTCTCTCTCTCCTCTCTCTCTCTCTCTCTCTCTCTCTCTCCTCTCTCTCTCTCTCTCTCTCTCTCTCTCTCTCTCTCTCTCTCTCTCTCTCTCTCTCTCTCTCTCTCTCTCTCTCTCTCTCTCTCTCTCTCTCTCTCTCTCTCTCTCTCTCTCTCTCTCTAACTCTAATTCTTTATATCTTAAACTCAAACTCCTCTCCCACACTCTCTCTCCAGTCGCATTCCTATATCCACTTCAATATGACCTTGTTATGTAAGACTAGGCGAGCGTGAACGGTAAGTCGCATTCTGCATTCTTACTTGGCACGTCGAAACTATGTCGTTTGTCTTTAAATTGTAATGTTTGTGAACAATTATTGAACAAAAAAATGGTTTCTTCCCGTGTCTTTCTCCCCTCCTCTTCTCTTTTTATCTTCCTCCTCCTCTTCTCATCTCCTCCTCCTCTCCTCTCTCCTTCATCTCCTCTTCCTCCTCTCTCCTCTTCATCTCTCTTCTTTTTCTTCACCCCTTCCCATGCCCCCTTCCCTTTCCTCTCCTTTTCCTTCCTTTCGTTCACTCCTTTTCCTCTTTCCCCTCCTCTTCCTCTCCTTTATCTTAGAGGGAGCTGTTGGCAGGCAAACTTATCGCGACCATAAAAAAGGGGCAAAATCTTACGCAATGTCCCCGAATCACGTGAAATAGTGCTGTAAGAGCCGAGAGTGAACCGGGAGTGTCGTGGTATTTGCTTAATCCAAAGAGCTGTAAATGGATGGTTGTCTTATAGGGTTCACGGGTTTGGAGTCAGTTTATTAAAGCGCAAATGAATGAAAAAAGAACAGTATTATTCGTTTTATTTGTCTTTGACTAGAAATGAAATGCAGGTTTTATCTTTCCATGAGCATTATTATTGTTTTTTTATATTATTTTTTATTATTATTATTATTATTATTATTATTATTATTATTATTATTATTGAGATGAAATGTGAATTTCAATACCATCCACGTATAATTTTTCATACTTTTGAAAGTATATATATATATTTTTGTAAAGATATGTTCTGGATAAGTATATCTCTGATAAAAGTATTTAATTCATGAATATAAAGGTAAAAATGGCGATGTCATATCCAGCCTTGCTATTAGGATATTTTTATTAACATAATATTATTAGGTGTTGAGTTATGATTATTTAAATGTAATACTTTAGAAGAAGAATGAAAAGAGAATGACGCTAACCAGATTCTTTTTTTGTTTGCTTTCATTCCAAGGTTCAGACAGAGGTGCCAGCAGTAAGTTTTTTTTCAAGCAAGATTTTGGCTCGCTTGTAGATCTGTTTTTATTTTTATTTTTTCTTTCTTTTTTTCTTTTTGATGTTTTGATATATATATTTTTTATTTACTATTGATCATTTTCTCTGTATATGTGCACTGCATTTGCATGATTTTGCATGATTTCTATCCATCCAATTACACGTAATTTTCTATTATAAGAAAATGGTTCTATTGCATGCAAGCATATCGTAATTTTTGATTGTATAGATTGGAATGATTGTTTAAAGTTTCGATTAAACGCTTTTCCGTTTTCTGTTCCTGCCTGCTTGGAGGTGCTGCTCGGCAATTGCTTGGATTTTGCTTTAAGCTTGTTAGATTTGCCCTTTGGTTGTGTGTGTGTGTGTGTGTGTGTGTGTGTGTGTGTGTGTGTGTGGTGTGTGTGTGTGTGTGTGTGTGTGTGTGTGTGGTGTTTGGCGTGCGTTCTCTCTCTCTCTCTCTCTCTCTCTCTCTCTCTCTCTCTCTCCTCTCTCTTCTCTCTCTTTCTCTCTCTCTCTCTCTCTCTCTCTCTCTCTCTCTCTCTCTCTCTCTCCTCTCTCTCTCTCTCTCTCCTCTCTCTCTCTCTCTCTCTCTCTCTCTCTCTCTCTCTCTCTCTCTCTCTCTCTCTCTCTCTCTCTCTCTCTCTCTCTCTCTCTTCTCTTCTTCTCTTCTCTTCTCGTCTTTTACTTTTCTTCATTTCCTCATTAGCCTATCCCATCTCCCTTCTTACCTCCCCCTACCCCCTCCCCGCTCTCTCTTTCACGCAATTCTTCCCTTAAAGTAAACTAGCACCCCCCCCCCAAAAAAAAAAAAAAAAAAAAAAAGCATGGTAAACCGACCATTCACAAAAGCCAGATGATGCTTAGTCACCCGACCATGCATAAACCAAGGAGGCATAAACAGATGATTGATAACGGTCGAGTCGGAGGAGAGAAGGGAATCACATTTGGCGCTGAACGGATGATGAACACTACAGGAAGCTCTCACCTCGCCTGCCCTTTGCCTGGAGGAGAGAAATGCATGCTGAGCTGAGGAGAGAAGTGTATGCTGAGCTGAGGACTGAGAGGCTGAGCTGAGGAGAGAAGTGCTGAGCTGAGCTGAGCTGAGGAGAGAAGTGTATGCTGAGCTGAGGAGAGAAGTGAATGCTGAGCTGAGGGAGAGAAGTGCAAGCTGAGCCTGATGAGGAGAGAAGTGAATGCTGAGCTGAGGAGAGAAGTGTATGCTGAGCTGAGGAGAGAAGTGAATGCTGAGCTGAGGAGAGAAGTGTATGCTGAGCTGAGGAGAAGTGTATGCTGAGCTGAGGAGAGCTGAGCTGAGGAGAGAAGGCTGAGCTGAGGAGAGAAGTGAATGCTGAGCTGAGGAGAGAAGTGCATGCTGAGCTGAGGAGAGAAGTGTATGCTGAGCTGAGGAGAGAAGTGTATGCTGAGCTGAGGAGAGAAGTGAATGCTGAGCTGAGGAGAGAAGTGTATGCTGAGCTGAGGAGAGAAGTGTATGCTGAGCTGAGGAGAGAAATGCACGCTGAGCTGAGGAGAGAAGTGTATGCTGAGCTGAGAGAGCATGCTGACCTGAGGAGAGAAGTGATGCTGACCTGAGGAGAGAAATGCATGCTGAGCTGAGGAGGAATGCATGCTGAGCTGAGGAGAGAAGTGTATGCTGAGCTGAGGAGGAAGTGTATGCTGAGCTGAGGAGAGAAGTGTATGCTGAGCTGAGGAGAGAAGCTGAGCTGAGGAGAGAAGTGCATGCTGAGAAGAGAAGTGAATGCTGAGCTGAAGTGTGGAAGGCATTTTGGCGTGATGAGAAGCGGACCTTTTGAGGAGATCTGGAAATATATGCATGAAGATTTAAAATATGTAAAGGATTGTCTAAAGAACTGAAGTGATGAATGGAAATGAGATTAAAGTGTGATATGTAGAAAATCCGAATTGATTTTTTGAAGTGAGATGAAAATCTACTTCATAAGAAAATTAATTAATGGATTGAAATGAGATTAAAATATAACATGGCAGGTATAACAGAAGTCAAAACATCGCATAAAAATTCACAGAAATAAACATTTATCGCATAAAAATTCGTTTAGCTAGAATAATATGAGATAATAAAATGATCGAGTATGTATGTTAATATAAATAAGAATCAAGGAGATTATTGCACACAAGTAGGAATTGCCTATCAATTATATATAGAAGCACGTGATTGCACACAAGGCCATCGTAGTCAAGCGTCGTTCGTTTCCTTGGCACCAGACTTCAGTTTTTCTCTTCGTTTCTTTTTTCTTCTCTTTTCACGGTACAGTCACCAGCCAGCGGGTTTTAATTGTCACCTGATGATAAGGAGAGCTGTGATAACCGCCCCCCCTCCCCCCCCTCTCCCCCGCATCTCTTATCTGTGGATCTAAAGATTTTATGGAAGGAATTTTATGTCCTGTTCGGGCGGGTTGACAACGTGGCTGTGACAGAGACGCGTTCAGTGACGTTCTCAGTCTTGATTTTGTTACCTTTATTTATTTATTTATTTATTATTATTTTTTTAGTATTCGTTTTCTATATCATTTGTTTGCCTATTTACTTGCATATTTACTTGTTTATTAATTTACTTATTAAGTAATTGATTATTGATTTATTTAATAAATTTGTCTGTTAATTCATTTTTAGAGCTTAGGTAATGGGAGAGTTACATGATCAGCAAAGTTTATATATTTATTTATGTATAAGAATTTTTAGGAACCTGCCTGGCCTTGACTTTTAAAGCCAGAGATTACGTTTTTTCTTCTTTTTCTTTTTTTTTTTCTCCTTCAATTCGGCGATTTATCAGCGTCGCCTCGTGGACTTCTGAAAAAGATCCAAAATCCGCGATTATGAACGAGACTTCGTGGGAGATAAGATACAGAGCGACTCGCCCAATATAGATTTGTGGTTAAAGAAAAAAAAATACAATAAAAAGTTCCCAAGAAAGCACAGTCGCGGCGGAATCTCGAGGCCGCGTGGAAATATCCCCGAAATGTGCCTTTTTTCTATTCTTTTCCTGTATGTACATATTCATACATATATGCGTATATATTATGCATGCTTATATATATTTATATATTTGTGTGTGCGTGTGCATGTATGTATGTATGTATAAAATAATTAAATGTATATGTATATATATTGTAAATATAAATATATATATATGTGTTATATATATTTTGTATATGATATATATATGTATATATATATATTATATATATATATATTTATATATATATATATATTTTTTTTATATATACATTGTGTGTGTGTGTGTGTGTGTGTGTGTGTGTGTGTGTGTGTGTGTGTGTGTGTGTGTGTGTGTGTGTGTGTGTGTGTCGTGCGTGCGCGCGCGCGCTCATATGTAATGCACGCGCAATTTGTAAGTCAAGTGCATCTGGAGACCAGCCAAACGTAAATGTGTATGGTAGATCATCTCTCTCTCTCTCTCTCTCTCTCTCTCTCTCTCTCTCTCTCTCTTCTCTCTCTCTCTCTCTCTCTCTCTCTCTCTCTCTCTCTCTCTCCTCTCTCTCCCCTCCTCCTCCCCCTTCCCCCTCCCTCCCTCTCTCCCTTCTCCTCCTCTCCCCCCCCTCCCTCCCTCTCCCTCTCCTCTCCATCCTCCCTCCCCAATTCTTTCTCTCTTCTCTTATTCTGTTTCTTTGTGTACAGAAATGCTATAAACTAGAGGCGTGTGGTCTCTTGTATACCACATCACGTGACTTGAAAGGGAGCCAAAGTCTTCTCTCTCCCTCCCTCCTCCTCCCCTCCCTATCCTTGTTCCTATCCTTGTCCCTCTCCACCTCTCTCCCTTTCCCCCCTCTCCCTCTCCCTCTCCTTCTCCTTCTCCTTCTCCTTATGGTGAAATAAAATTAGGGAGGGATGATATACTTTTAAAGAGATATTTGCAATGATAAGGTAGGAATTTTTTTGAATTAATTGTTCATTGCTTAATCAGTGTACATTAAGCCATTAACTGCCTGTAATTAATGTGTAATACCTTGTTTTGCATGACTGTGCCAAAAAGCTTAACTCTGGTGTGGTTTGAGAAGTAAGTAGTGTTTTTTATAATTATTATTACTACTATTATTACACTGTTATTATCATTATTATGACTGATTTTATTATGATTTTTGTTTTTAATTAAATTATGCTATGTTATTATTTTTACCATTGCTATCTTTTTGTTACTATTATTATTACTGTTAGTAGTAGTATTAGCAGTAGTTATTAATTACTGTTTATTTTCATCACTACTAGTAATTTAGTTATCAAATATTGTTGTTTGTTAGTATACAAAGAATTAATCACTACAAACCATATTTTACTCAATTCTACATTAATTTCATAAGAAATGAAAGGAACTCAGAAACCCTAGAAATAGTATTATACTTTTTGTTTCTTGCACTTATTCTCACATAAGTTGAAAATTATATAATAGACAGAGAAGCATTAGGAACCATGTTACCATTTTGTTTTGTTTAGTTTATGGCATAATTGAGAAGTGAAAAACAAAAACTTGCATAAAGAACTAAATGACAACCTTCTGCTGTTGCAAAAAGAAGGAAGCAAAATTGGTTTAAAGCCAAGGTTAGTTGAGAACCTCAAGGCATTTTTTTTTTTTTTTTTTTCACACATACCACTTTATCTCTCCTACTGTACACTGTCCTACTAGTGTTTGTACTTGTTTCTCATGGTGTTGTGAATGGAAGTTTGTTTTTATTTATGAAATGTTTTAGTACTGTTTATGTACTGCTTTAAGGAGGGAGGGGAGAGGTGTTTATGCTGTTGTCACAATCTATATTATTATTATTATAATCATCATTGTCATTGGTACTTCTGTTATTATTATTGCATTTTTATCTTGATATTCTTGTTTGTCATTGTGTATGTCTGTCTGTCTGTATCTTTATTTGTGTCTTTGTGGGGGAATGTGTGTTTTGTGTCTAACAACAAAGGGAAGAACAAGCAGACAAATATGCAGAAGGCCTTCCAGCCATATTGCTTCTTCATTTGTGTTTGCTTTTTCAGTCCATCATTGCCGTATTTACAATTTGCTGTGCATGAATCCTCTCACATGTTAGTGTCTGCATCTGTGTTTCTATGTGGGTATATTGATGTGTCTGTGTCTGCATCAACATTTGTATCTTATTATAGATACATCTGTAGTGTATATATTTGTTTGTGCCTGTGTTTGTACCTGTGCATGAGTGTAGGTAAATATGTGTTAATGTATTTTGTGTCAAGGTTAAGGATAAGTAAAATGTTATATTTAGAGCCATATTTACGGAAGTGGAAGTGTTGCATTTACCAAAGCCATACACACACTAATGGTGATTAAATGTTTTCATATTCAAGTATCACCAACTTATATTAACAGCTATGTTCAAACGGATGGAGAATGCAGCCGTGACAAAAGTCAGAATTCTCTTATACTGTGTTAAATCTGCTGTAAATTTTTTCATACTAAGATCAGAATTCTCACATTGCAGGCAGTCTGATGATAGCCAAGATGCTGAAGGCTATGAGCTCTTCACAGAGAAGATTAGCATTGACGCTGGTTTCCCTGTAACAAGTTTGGCCTTTGGCACGGGGACGCCAGAGCAGGACTTGGTGCCCATCAAACGGGAATACTGGACCAGGTTTGACTTCTCCAAAGACCTCATCCTTGCTACAGGACATAGTAATGGCCGCATCAGGATCTGGGACCCTTATACAGGTTGGTGTGTGTGTGTGTGTGTGTGTGTTGTGTGTGTTGTGTGTGTGTGTGTGTGTGTGTTGTGTGTGTGTGTGTGTGTGTGTGTGTGGTGTGTGAGAGAGAGAGAGAGAGAGAGAGAGAGAGAGAGAGAGAGAGAGGTTGCACTGAGGTCATGAGTATTCCCTTAGTTCAGTTTAACAATGGTAGAGAGAGCACCTTGCAAAGCAGACAGTTTTTAGCTATAATCAATAAAGGTCATCAGAAGGTACAAGCATCAGGTATATTTTTATAGTATATGCTAGTGAATAATATTTTCCTCTGATAAATATAAGGGTTTAAAGAAATCTGAATGATTTGACAAATAGTTGGTATGACTAAGTGTATTTAGAATGTTTTATGATATCTGTAACTTCATTTTTAGGCAAGCTGTTGCTGGAGCTCACAGACCATGTTCAGCCCGTCACAGCCCTGGCCTTCGCCCCTGACGGTTCCCTCAGGCTTGTTTCAGGATCGAAGGACTCAACCATCAAGGTGTGTATTTACAAATTTGAAGGAGTTCTGTTAAAGAGTGAGCTTGAGTGTTACGTCTGTTGTCTGTTCTCCCCCAAGAATAAAAGAAGTTTGCAAATTAATTCATGCACTAACTTTTTTTGTTGCACTTAACAAGGGGAAAATTTTGAAATCAAAGTTTAAAAAATGAGAAGGTAAAAAGAAGAGTGATCTTTGTAATTATTTAAAGAAAAATAGTACAGGTACAAGGCATCAATGCATGCCCAACACAATTCAAGGGCAGAGAAAGAAATATAGATTTACGGAAATTTTTTCATCACCACAAAAGTAAAAATTTCACTTAACAAACGTTATAACATTGGAAGCATCAGTAGAAGGTGATTTTGAATATCCTTGGTGAATGCTAAATGCAGGAACTACACTGTAATTGAAAAAGCA